TTTTTTACCAAGAAATACGCTTATGATACAATTTTGGAAAATGGGCGTGGCACCGCCCACTTATGATCACATATATGTATCTCGCTAACCGTTCTAGCAATTTGAACCAAACTCGGTATGGTTATTGTGCTTGCCACATAAAAGCAAAGCGTTGAAAATTATTGAAATCGGACTAAAATTACGACCGCTTTTCATATAACGGTATATTTCAGAAATGAAACTGCAATATTTCGAAATCTAAGGACGCTAATTTACTTAAAATTTATACACCCCGGCTTATCGTGGAGCGGTAGCTTTCGGAAAGGTGGAAAACATATATTTAATAATTGCGCCGGGTATTTAATGTTCGGCTCCGCCCGAACTTAGACTTTCTTACTTGTTCATTTTATTGTTTTTAGTTTTTAATTTTCGATTTTTAGTTTGTTTTGTAACAGCATACAAATTCCCCAAACAATTTATGGGGAATGTTGCTTGAGTGGCAGTCCTTGGCCAGATATAAATCTGGGTCGTTCCGGTTACGTAGACCCTACTGTCGTGGAAACGTGTTTTTATTTTTATTTTTCTTTTTTTTTTGTTAATGTTTTCTCAATTTTCTTTGTTTTTAGTTTCTTATTTTTTTTGCTTTTTCTTCAGAATTTTTTACTATTTTTTATTTTTAAATTTTTTTATTGTTTTTATTTAGGGTTTTTATGTATTTGTACATTACTTTTCTTTGAATATTTGTTTTTTTCCTATTTATTTGGCCTAATAACAAATGAAGCGCAATAAAAATTGTTCATTATGTTTTCTTTAAATGCAATAAGGTTTTACTTTATCGAAAAGAGTTGCCACCTGGTAAATAATTACACTCAAGTTGTTTAATAATAAATGCCTTCAAATCCGCACCAACCGTTCGATTTTAAAAAGTGAGGTGTCAAATGAAAGGGATTCAGGTGCGGAAGTTCAATAAGGTTCAATAAGGAAAAGAGTTGCCACCAGTTAAGAAATTTGGCACAGATTATTTAAAAAGTTAAATCAATTGTTACAATATCAACCCAAATGGTTTCGAAAAGGCTTTATATATATTAACTACTTGTAGGAGGGTTGCCACATGTTCAAAAAATTTAATTCAATTTTAATTAAAGGAGTTTCGTAAGTTAATAAGTTAACACTATATGGGTGTCAGACAAAAGAGGTTTCCAAACTACTATCTTAGGAAATTTTTTGAAGGGTTTGGGTTGCCACATATTTGAAAAGTCGAATTAAATTATTTTATTTTATGCCCAAGTTACATGAAATATTAAAACTGGATTTCAAATGAAAAAGTTTTAAGAAATATTTAGTTTGACAATTTAGAATATTTTTGATGTGTTTGAGGACAACCCTCGATTATTTAATAAATTAAATGAGGTACTAAACGATGGTTATCAATAGAAATGCCACGCGTTTTAAAAATAATTCCAACTTAATTCATCAGTTACTTGAAATATTTGTAAAAATGTCATACGAAAAATTTTTAAGGAATTTTGGTTCGAAAATAATTTTTAAGAGGGTTGCCACTTAAAAAACCAAATTCAAATTAATTCTTCAGTTAATTGAAATACATATGTATAACAATGCCAGACGATAAAAAGATTTTAGTTTAAAAATACTTTTAAAGGGGTTGCCAATTGTTTGAAAAGTCGAATTTGTTTTCCTTATATACAAGTACATAAATGCAATATCGAAATATTAGTGTCAAACGAAAGAGTTTTAAGAAAACTATAGGCTGATAATATACTTTTAATTATGGTTGCCATCTATTTTTTTGAAATTCATCACATCAGCAAAGTTATTTCGAATTTGCAATATGCAATGTGCAATACGTGTTATTTTTTGAAGCTAGAACTTTTTAGCAATACAGCGAGATTTCAAATTTGATTAAATGAAAACCCACACCATGCGAGACCTCTCATCACTCAGAAATGGTTTAAATGAATCATTAAGAATATTTTTAGATGTTTTTAACAGGGTTTCACCTGTTTAAAAATATAAATTCAATTTTGGCGTTTGAACGCCATGCGGGTTCACTAGTTGCTTATATTACTTCTTCCTTTTTTATTTTTTACCATCCAGCCCTAAACCTTATTGCGGTTTAACACTTATGCAGTTGATTTCATCTCTTTTCCCCACCTTTCAATTATAGAAGAAATCCCGTTTGTCCGGAAAAAATTTCATCTGAGCAGCAAAAGCTAATGATGTGACTAGCAAAATTTTATTTGTACAAGAGTTTAATACGCTGAAAGCACTAAGTATGTATATCGGCACAAACTTTTTCTCTCCTCTCTCTTTCCACTTAGCAGCAAACTATAAAAAGTGTACGCTCAACAGTTGCCAGTAGCAGGTGATGCATTGATGTAAAAAGACGTGCTAAAAAGCGTAGAGGAACCAAAATAAACACCAGACAGTAAGCTTTGTGAAAGCGTTTTCTCGCTTATACATTAACATAAAACCATAACAACAAATCAAAATGTCTGGAAAAACTGCCGACCAGACAATACGCAAATACTATAATGTCGCATTGGAATTGGTAATGAAATGTCGTCCAGTAGCAATGGAAGGTTATGAGAAAACCGAAGCTGTCTTTGACACAAAAGCAGCCTACTTTGATTTGGTAACAGAATATGATAAAAAATTGGAGGATCTACTCATCACGGAGTTGCAAAAAGCCTTTCCCGAATCAAAGTTCATTGGTGAGGAAGATATGGCGGCGAATAAGAAGAAGCCAGAGCTGACAGATGTACCCACATGGATAATTGATCCCATAGACGGAACAACAAATTTTATACACCGTTTTCCTAATTGGTGTATTTCAGTCGGTTTGACTATACGCAAGGAATTAGTGGTGGGTGTAGTGTATTTACCAGCGGTAAATGAAATGTACTCGGCGTGGATGGGACATGGCGCTTATCTTAATGGGCAGCCTATCAGTGTTAGCAAGTGTACTAATGTGAGTAGATGAAGAGTTGTTGAGATTTTTTAATTCATTTTAATTTTTATAGTTTTATGATAGTTAAGAGATAAAAGTAATAAAAAATTTATATTTTATACTTGACTTTTCATTATTTTCTTTGCAGATCAAAAGCGCTGTTATAGGGGCAGAAATGTCACTTATTCTGCCGGCACCTGTGCGAGATAAAAATGTTAAACGCCTGTGTAAGGTAGCATCGAATTGCAGTGGGTTAGTTATGATGAATAGATAATAATTTTTATTTGAGCTAAATCCCAAAAAAAAAACTTACATATTCTCTCTCTTCCGCATTATTTCAGTTGCCGCGGTTTAGGCAGCGCCGCTGTATCCCTTTGCTATGTGGCGCGTGGCAGCATTGATTGCTTTTTCGTAGAGGATTTGCAAGCATGGGACATTGCTGGTGGTGCCTTAATAATACGCGAAGCTGGTGGCTATGTGTGCCATACAAAAGGTGGCGAGTTTTCAGTATTAAAACCCGATTGTATAGCTGCAGCAACACCTGAACTAGCTAAGGATGTGATAGCTTTGATCGAGGAAGCTGATCAGTTGACCGAATTTACTTTTACGTGAATAACTTCTAGTGAATGATAGCCCAAGCGAAAACCACCATATTATTACAAAATAAATACAGTGAATGCGTAAGGTTTCTAATTTTCATCAGAAAGTGCTACAATTTAGGAAATAATAAATAAAAAATAACTAAAAAAAAGTTTTTAAGACAAGATTTTAAAATTGGTAAATAAAAGGAAGAAAAATCGACTCCCGTACCACCTAGCGGCTAAATTTTGTTTGGAGTAATTTTTTCCATTGCATTAATATTCCTAGGTTCTAAATATGAAACAAATCGTACCATAAATACGGATTTTCCAAATATCCCGACTCCTGCATCACCTATCGACCAATATTTTTGTGGAGTTATTCCTTTTCAAATATCTCGAAACCTACGCAACCTAGCGGATTAATTGTCATCGGGTTCTACGAAGTTTCAAGTTTCTATGTAGATCTCCGCACGGTAGTGCCCTCTTTTTAGTGTTTGTCCGAAGAGGGCAATTATAAGGCGAAATTTTTTGGTAGAAATGAAAACGCCATTAATAAAAGCTTTTAAAATACATATCGTCGTTTAAAATACAAAACCTCGTATCAACAAAATGCAGAACCGCGTATCAAGATAATCGAAACCCGCGTATGTGAGGTTGCATAAATTATTTTGTGGAGAGTAAAACACTCATATTTCAAATTGGTCCCCTTTTTTATAAAGCAATCGCAATTTCTGGCTAGTATAATTCAGGACGAATGGATAAGAGTTGAGTCAAGAGCTTGTGTGAGGAAATCCAATTTTTGTCAATTACGCGGTTTTGCAGAACGACGATACGCGGTTTTGTACTTTAAACGACGATATGTATGTGTACATACACAGACAAAATATATTTGGGGTATTCACAACGTTGTCGTAAGTGTCGTATTGTTGTTTGTCGTAAATTTTAAAGGCCTAAAAAATATATTAAGTGGGTCGCAAAGTACCATCAAAGGCATATCTTAAATTTTCGCAGTGTTAAAAAATAGTTGGTTGTGGTTTCAAGTTCTCTAAACATTTATTTATGCTTTTAAATATTACGACATACAAGAATACGACACTTACGACACCGTTGTGAATCCACCCATTGTTTCGATTTATTGCAGATAGTGAAACTTTATACGGAACTTTCTTTTAAATCATTAGATTAGAAAGGGATTATTCTGAAGAGATTAGCTGCAGTTCACATAGATATGCATAACTATGTATGTACGTACTAAGAATACTTTTGTGACTGGCAAAAATCTTCTGTCAAAATTTTTCCCAGGTGCTGGCGGCTAATGATTTTATTCCCGCCGTGGATTTTGTTGCCTATCGCTGTATCGAGAGCCGGGAAGGAAGGAAGGCTGTCGAACGCAATACCCGTGTTATTAGAATGGTTTAAGGCAGTGGTCGGCATTCTAACACATTCAAACGATTCAATAAGTGAGAAGGTGTGCGTTAAATGCACTGCTCAGCTTCCGCTCTTCGTACACGTGTGAAACACACATGTGCTCAGAGAGCGTTCAGTGACCTATGGCCTGCTGACCACAGGTTTAAGGCAGTGCCCGCCAAAAAGAGAAAAGTCTTAAAATGAGAATGTATTAGTTATGAAACAAAAAATGAGAATGTGTTGGTGGTAATGCACGGAAAAAAATTTCTGTGTTTTATTACTTATTATAAAAACTTTGGTATGTTTTTTTGCCGTTTTTTTCATTGTGCGCTATTTTTTAGATCTAACCAACATAGAAACGTATAATGAAAGTTAACGGCCCTAAGAAAGGAAAAAGTTGGTAAAATTTTATATGTCTTGTACAAAATTATTATTATTATTTTATAATTTAGGTGTGGATTTCTGAGCAAAAAAGATAACGTGCTTCGAGTACTCTGAATATTAAAAGAAAATTTCGTTGATTTCAAGTAGAAATAAAATAAAAATATAATATATATATCTAATATATATATATTTTAAAATTAGGTAAAACTTGACATTTAAGAACAATTTAAAATAACGATTAAACCAAAAGATAAATAACAAAACATATTGTCTGTTTTAATTGAGGACTAGTCTGGTATTAAAAAAAAATACATAATTCACAAAGTTATTTTAATATGAAGAAAAAGCACGACTTGGTACCATATACATACCTATTTCTAGAGGTGTATGTACGAAAAATTGTGTTATAAAATTTTTGAATGAATATTCATTCATTCTGCTCAGTGTACCTACTTTATTCAACAATAATGCGTCATCAACCTACTTCGCCTATTGTTTGCATGCAACTAAATAAAATTTGTTGCTCTTCTACTCTTTCTGTTGACGTTCGGATTGTGTACGTGTAAGAAGCCGATTGTGTACATGTGAAATGCCGAATATAGTTCGTTTCCCAGGAACGTGTTTGGCGGGCACTGGTTTAAGGTAAGGATTTCTATTCCATCGCCCCCCATATCCGATTCCAATTCCAATTTATTTTAAGGGTATTGCGTTGTAGCTCACGAATGATACTGGCATGAGCCAAATTTTTCGGTGGGATTAATTAAATAGATCAACACCCCTATGCTGTAATCCGAAAGTTCGTAGTTACGAATTCGTAGCTCCGTTCCGAAAATTCGAAAATTGGTATGCTGTAATCCGATCGTAACTATCAACGGCGTTACCAACTAAAATAGTGAAATTCGAAGTTCTTAATCAGCTGCTTTGACAGAAACAAATCAAAATAAATATAATCGCAAGTGAACAGTGAAATTAAAAAAAATTGTTTAATCGTATTTGAAAAAGCTTTTCCTTAATTAAGTAAAATAGAATGGATTCAGTGGCCGGTGCACTTTTGTCTCAGGAGGAAGAACATGCTGCAGTCAACTGTTGCATTAATATACAAAGGAGATTGCTACGAGACAGTTCTGATCCATTTACCTTAAATGATAAATATATGTTCCCTCTTTTTAAGGGCGTCCATTCAACTAAATATTGTGTTGCTTTAAATCTTGCAACGCTTTCCCAAAATTCCACCACATCCTCTTTAACTATTACAAAGCCTCGGGCAATGTCCGGCTTTCGCTCATGCTTTCCACCAGTTTTTCGTATTGCGAGCGATTTGTTGTGATTGTCGACATGATAATTTTGTAAACATTTAATAATACATTGGTTTTTATTCACACTTCAACTTAAATACATATTTTTGTGTTTCCACACTTAATTTTATTGATATTTTAAATGAATTCGCTTCGCTCCGACACCAGTTGCTCTTCGTAGAAAATTTCCGACAAATACATACAAATTACAGCTACGTCGGATTCAGGCATACCAACGTTACGAATTTCGAAGATGGTCTCCGAATTTCGAAATTACGATACGGCAACGCGGATTACAGCATACCAATTTTATGATTCGTAGCAAAATCGAATCTACGACGGATTACAGCATAGGGGTGCAAATTTCGCTTGGGGAAACACAACCTATTTTCGTTTGTATATCCAGAATCGCCGCTGCTACGATGCCGTCTCTCCACACTCCAGATTTTTGAAGATTGAAGCTATTGTGTTAGTGTTTGTAGCTATCTTTCATCATACATACATACATATGTACATATATTTGATTGGTTTCTGAATTGTGTGAATATTTTTGTTTTTGGACCACATCCATTTATAAATACATATACAAAAATGAAAAGGAGCAGGATCTACGAGCTTTGCATTGTATGTGGCCAGAGCCAAGACGTTAAAGTGGTGCGATACTTTAAGCCGCCCAGTTTTGAAGTTAGAAGACTTCGTTAGGAGAACAGCTGCGGTGTTCAATTGGAAGATTCTTCCCGTGTGTGTGAAAATCATTTCAACGCGAATGATTCCATTACTAGACCATTGCAGGCAAATATTTGTACGCGCATGCGTTTATACCCGAATACAGTTCCCATGCCCTGGGAGGTTCTTGTGCCTGAAATGTCTGAAGCACACGAAAGTTCAGAAGTGACAATATCAACTGTTGATGGGCAGACGCAAACTGAGTAAAAGGGTCATACATGATACCAGCAATTTTTAACAACTTAAACGGGAAAAAGATCTCTCATTGCAAAATTTTTATCAAGAAATTTTTAGAATAAAGTCTTCATATAAATTTACAAGAAAACATTAAATCATCAATTTTATAAGTGCCGGATGTTTTTTTAGAATTTCATTTAAATAAGAAACTAAAGGCGCAAAAACATTAATAAATACAAAGAAATGTTTAAAACAGTTTCATAAAAAATTTCTTTCATTTTATTCACGTGGTTTCCTTTATGAGGTATTCGTTCTGTCCATATATATACATATGTCTATATATACAGCAATTAAAATTCAACGAAGATAATATTGAAGTTTCAATTGATGCTAAGTTGTAGCAAACATAGCACTCGCACCTCAAAGGGTTAATTTGTTGTTTACAGTTTTTTTTGGCATTATAACTAGCTACATGAGAGTTTGAGCTGGTTGTCACTTCTACCTTATTAAACATGCCTTGATTGACAAAAATAAAAATATTTAGGTGTATCTCGATTCAGCTGAACTTAGTTATACATACATACATCTATAAGTCAATTATCAGTATGCAAATGAGATAAGATAAAAATACGATAAGAGCGAAAAGTTAACGGGTACGCTAAATATAAATCCCAATAAACATTTTGGCGAACGTTCGAAAATAACCTTCAAATCCAATATGAATTTCGAACTGAGAACCAACTCATAAACAACCTTAGTTTTCCAACGTTCATAGTATATTCGAAAAAAAAATGGAAACCATAGTAACAATAGAGAAAATGAAATCCAGCTCATTCTCGAAGGGAAATATAAGAAAATCCCTCTCTCTCGTTAAAATTCCAATTCGATAATGGGCAAGATTTCGAATTCATAACGAAAGAAAAATTCATTGGATAACGAAGATTTCGTTTTGCTGGAGAATGGCCTAGTTCTCGCATCGAATACTAACCTATTTCACATTCGTTATCGAAGGTAAGACTCGAAAAAAATATTGGTTTTCCAATCGTTTTCGAATTGTTAACTCAGACGAATGTTTATTGGGATACCACATATGTATAATAGGTGCTCAAACTTTTATTTTAATGTATGTATGTATATATAAGTTTATACGTGTATATGTACATTATTAGAGTGGTCCTTAAAAAATTAAATGAGCGCCACGCCTTAACCGACTCCAATCGCG